AAGAAGGGACAAGGAGCATGCTGGGTGGGCTCAGGGTGGCGTGGACACGGTGGTGGGATGAGGTTTCTCCTTGTGCCTTGCAGAAGCCTGTGATGACCCACCTGTCCTGAGGAGAGGGGACCTTCCTGCTACCGCATTTCAGTGAAGATACAAGACCTCAGCAAAGCAAAGCCTCTCACAGCCTTCCCTGCAACACTTTTTCCTCCTTCTCCTGAGCCCCTCTCTCCCCAAATCCCTGGACAGAAAGGAAGCTAGGGGCCATGGGCAGGAGGCCTTGCTGGCAGCTGATGGGAAGAGGAGCAAAGCACTGGGGTGCAGACACATGGCCAGGGGGTCTCATGGGAGGATGCTGGAATGAGACCTTGGACTGGGGCAGCTCCTTGGTACTGGGTCAGCCAAGGGGACCAGAGAGGTTCAGAGCAGGAGTGACCCACCCCATCCCCTGTGGCATTCAGCACAGGGACCAGGGCAGGGACACAGCCCTCGCTTGGCAAGAGCTGTCAGTGCCTGTCCCTGCTCTCTCCCAGGCTGCTGGTGAGCAGGCCCAGGAGCTGACAGAGACTGTGGAATGCCCTGGGGGTAGCCCAGGTGGAAGAGGGACCCAGGCATCCCAGTGCTGGGATTCACATCCCAGTGGTGGTCCCAATCCCCTCCCATGTCCTTTGGAGCTTTGCTTCCCTTCCCTGAGCAGCAAAGCAGGATGAGAGCAGTGCTGGTCCCCTCCCAGTGAGCACCTGCTCTTTGCCCCAAGCCATGCAAACACCCTCTGAGGCTTCTGCCACCGTGCCTGAAGCAGCTGTGGCCATTTGGGGATGGGAGTGAGGCGAGGCCTGAGGGATCCAGTGGCAAGAAAAGTGGGAGGAAAGGCTGGAGGGCTTGTTTGGGATTGGTTCGCTTCTCCAGCTCTTAAAGGTATCTCCACTCCATCTGAAGCTGTATCAGCAAGAAACAGAACTCCAGCAAGCAGAGTGTAGGTGCTCCTCTGCTCCACAGAGGGGTCAGCCCCTGCCAAGATGCACTTGGTGGATGAGCATGTCCCCTGTCCTTAGTGATGGCATTGTAGAGCCTCTTAGGACCATCCCAACCTTTGCAGAGGCTGTGATGACCTTTAGGGGCTGCAGCAGCCCTGGGCCCCTGGTGTCAGCCTCCCCCAGCTCCCCCAAGACATTTGTTTTCCTCCAATATTCATCTCTCCACATGCACTAAGCCCAGTGGATCAGTAATGGCCCCATATCCATGACCAGAGCATCAGGATGGGCAGAGGGCTGCTTTCTCTTGCAGGTCACTTTGGAATAGGTTTTTTTCTTCAGTCCTTGTACAGTCCCCACTTTCCTCCTTCCTTCCTTCCCTCTCCAGTTGGCAAAGTGGGGAGGATCACTTACAGCTGAAGCAGGGATGTCAGACCAATGCTGACAGTTTCCCTGCCATGGCCACCCAGGCTGGATCATTTTAGGTGATTCCTGTGCATCTGAGCTAAAACCACTTTAATTATGAGCAGTCATGCAAGTAACACATTTGTTTGGCTTTGGTAGTAGTAGAGGCTGCTAACTGCCTAGGAATTGGTCCTGTGGTCATCCCAGAGAGTATTGTAGGTCCATGGTCTGGCCTTCCCAGCTGGAAACAAAACCAGTTTCTCAATTTAAAATGAAATCCTTCTGGCCTGAAGCTCAAAAGGGAAGTGCAAACCTCTGCTGTCGCAGAAACTCTCCCAGACACTGCGGCTTTGCTGGATCCAGCTGGTGGCTGTGCTGGGATGGCAGCTCCTTGGCTGGAAGAAAGGAGCTCCACCAAGATCATCCAAAGGGTTTGCACCCACCCTTCTGGCATCAGGGTTCAGCCTTCACCCCAGCCCACTCTCTTGCTTGTCTTTCCACCATCACTCAAGTCTTTCCAGGCCTGAGGCTGTCAAGGAATCCTCACGGGGAGCCTCAGCAGTGCAGACCAAGGCGTTGTTCAGTAGCCACCCATGTTACTCTTTGCTGGTTTCCTGACCCATTTGCCTGTGTAGAGATTATAATAAATGTGCACTAAATTCATGAAATAAAGCCAATTTTGTGTCCAGAACCACCCACCCATTTCCCAGTGTCTTTTTTTTCAGCACACTCGAGTGAAGGCTCCTTTCTCTTCCCACGGAATCCCAGAATGGCTGGGGTTGGAAGGGACCTCAAAGCTCCTCTCCTTGCATCTCCTGCCAAGGCCAGGGATACCTTCCACTAGCCCAGGTTGTTCCAAGCTCTGTCCAACCTGGCCTTGAACACTTCCAGGCATGGGACAATATTCTGGGTAACCTGTGCCAAGGCCTCACCACCCTCACACTGAAGAATTCCTTCCCAGTATCCCATCTATTCCTGCCCTCTGGCAATAGGAAGCCACTTCCCTTTTGTCCTGTCACTCCAGGCCCTTGCTCAAAGTCCCTCTCCAGCTCTCCTGGAGCCCCTTTAGGCATTGGAAGGGCTCTAAGGTCTTCTCAGAACTTTCTCTCCTCCAGGTGAACATTCCCAGCTGTCCCAGCCCTCAGAGCATCTTCATGGCCTCTTCTGGACTTGCTCCAGCAGCTCCATGTCCATCCATTCCTTTAGCCATCCTGTGCACTCCTTGCTTTACAACTGGCCAGGTGGAGCAGGCAGGAGCTGAATCAGCAGCATTGAAGCCAAATGGGGGCAGATCAGGATGGCCACATGGCTGGGCAGACGCTGGCCACAGAGCCACAGCTGTGATGACTTCCTCAGTGGTGATGCCGGGTGGGAGAAGGGGCTGATCCTTCTTGGATGCACTGCTCCAACTTGAATGGGATCCCTGAACCCAGTCTGGCAGCTGAAGCCACAAGAAATAACAAGCCACGGCAACAAGGGACTGATTTAAATCTGTATTAAATATTAGCAGCAACCCTGGGGTAGAGAGAGGCCTGGATTTCCCTGACTGGAGCCCAAGGTGGGGCAGGTGGGGCAGGTTCTCCCCTCTTCAGCCCTTTCCTTGCCCTTGCTGCACATCTGTGGCAATCCCCCTGTGTCCCACGCTGCTCCTGCCACCTCTCCCCAGCCAGAACTGGCTGTGCCCAGCACTGGAGCTGGGCACTGCAGGAGATGGAGCTGTCCCAGGGCAAAGCCAGCCCCACATGGGGCAAACAGAGACCTTCCCCCTGCCCACACCCCACTGCTGATGGTGTGATCACTGCTGATCCTGCCAGCACAGAGATCCCTGCTTTGGGATGTCCCTAGTACCACTTTTGTCTGTCTGGACCCTCATGCTGGAGTCCCAGGCTGGCTCCTCCAGCGTCACATCCAGCACAGTAAACACCAGAAATCTTTAAAATCCATTTAAAATGGGAGTGGGGAGCCAGGGCGTGGGGATTTGAAGTCCTCATGCTCAGAGAACAAGCCCATTCCTGCCAGCCCGTATTCCCCGGCACACTGCCTTCCTCTCATCTCTGCATTTTGTGTTCTGCTTTCCCTAAAGCAGGTTTGTTTGTTTTCGTGGGGAGTGGAGGGGAAAGGCTGGTGGTACCGGAGTAAATCCTGCGATGGAATTCCACGGTTCCCTCCAGCGCTCAGGGCAGCAGCACACCCCGACCCCGGCAGCCGTCTGGGTGAAGGAGCAGAAAACCTCCCCTTGTCCGAAATAACCCTGCGTCCAGGACAGGGATGAACGCATCCACAAACTATCTCCCTCAACCAGCGTAAGATAAAACGCTGGTCCCCTCTGAGTCATGAAAATCCCTGTGCTGATTTGATGAGAGGGGACAGCGGGGAGGGGAGATGCCCCGGCTCGGTCGCCGCCGGGGCTCGCCTCTGACATCAGCACGAAACCGGCCATAAAAGCAGCGACCGGAGGAGACTCCGGTTCACACAGCTCCCACCTGGCTCAGCGGGACGGCAGCCGGGCACCTCCGCTCGCCTCGCCTCGGTAAGAGCACCCCTCAGTCGGGAGCTTTTCTCTCCCTGGCGTGATGCTCGGGTAATTCCCGAGCGCTGCTTCTCCTCCGTGCGTCTGTCCTCGCGTCTGTCCAGCCGGCTGCGGTGCGGGAGGGAGAGGGGGGTGCTCCAAAAGTTGGCGGTCACAGCAAACCTGAGCTCCCCGGAGCCCGCTCTGTGCCGGAGCTCAGCGTGCTGAGAACTTCCTTGGCAAAAGTGGCTGGATATGGAGCTGCCGCCGCAGCCCCGCGGGGTCCTGCCTCGCCTGGCTCTCCCGTTCGGTCCCTTGCCCTGCTCCCTCGTTTTGAGTGGCTGCAGAGATCCAGCTCCCCACTCAGCCCGCCCTGCACGGTCCTGCTCAGCACCTCGGTGCCGTGAAGTGCGGCACAGGGTGTTCTGGGTGCCAAGGGGGCAGAGGTGGTCATCATCCATCATCCATCATCCATCCATCCATCATCCATCCATCCATCTATCTATTCATCCATCCATCCATCATCCATCCATCATCCATCCATTCATCCATCCATCCATCCATCATCCATCCATCATCCATCCATCATCCATCCATCCATCCATCATCCATCCATCCATCCATCCATCCATCCATCCATCCATCCATCCATCCATCATCCATCCATCATCCATCCATCCATCATCCATCCATCCATCCATCCATCCATCCATCCATCCATCATCCATCCATCATCCATCCATCCATCCATCCATGGCTCTGCAGCCTCTGCTTGGTGCAGCCAGCCCTACATTTCAGTGGTGGACTCCATCCCCTTGCCTGTGGGGTCCCACAGGTTTACTGGAGGTCCCAGAGAAGATCAGGCCTGACCTAAGGCACCAGGCTAGGATTAAAACGTATTTTAATGACCATGAGATCTGTGCAGCTCATGTTTGGAGGTGATATTTTCCCCAGAGGTGTCAGCCCCAGCAAAACCCCTGGGTTTTTTCTGGTGCTGTCCCCAAGCCCTTTGCTGCTGGCCCAGGGACGATGTGACTGGGATACACATCAACAACCAAATCCCTTCTCTCCTGCAGCCACATTGGAGTCCTCAGCAGGGCTCAGGAGACTTCACAACCAGGGCCTGAAAGAGCTGGGGATGAAGCTGGGGGTCACCTGCCTCCTGTGGCTGCTGCTCATCTGCCTGACCCTGCCTGCCACCCACGGCCGCGTTCTCCAGCGCTCCATGGAGATCAGGAGTAAGGAGAACATGAGTAAGGGACTCTCCCCAGCCAAACCCCTGCCTCCAGCCCCCTCTGCATCCCCAGGCTAAGCTGCACTTGTGCAGGAGCACAGGTCTGCTTTGAAGCGCCCTTTGCAACAGCTTGTATCCTCCTCATCCCCGTTCCCTGCTCCCCTGGTGTTCCCCAGCCCCTCTCTCGGGGGCACAGCGCCCTGTGCCCTTCCGTGTCCTCCAACCCCCCGATGGATTCTCGGCTTTTCCCTCGCAGACCCGGACATCGACCCCTCGTGGTACACGGGCCGCGGGATCCGGCCGGTGGGGCGCTTTGGGAGGCGACAAGCCCTGGGTGGTGACCCCCACCCTGGCTGCTCAGCCCCACACCTGCACCCCCACGCCCCACGGCAGGAGCTGAACCCCTAAAGTGGAGCTGACAATAAAAACCCTTCTCCTCTCACCCCTGAGTCCCAGCCTCTCTGTTCCAAAGCGCAGCGTGGGCGGGCAGGGGGGTGTGACCCCCCAAATTCATATGGTCACTGTGGTTTTCTGGCTGCCCTGGCAGTGTGTGCAGTGTGACAGCCCTTCCTGCTCAGGTTTATCCCCTCACAACCCCAGAAACACCCAGCTCAGAGGGACCCCTTTCTCAGGTGTATCCCCTGGGGTCCCACAGCATGCCAGCGCCCAGGGGTGCCCCCAACACCTTCATTTCCATGAGCTGGGGTCAGAAACTCCTGGGGAGAATATGATGCTCTGTCCAGCACACTGCCATGCCCCAAAAACCTCAGAGATTGCTGCCCTGCTGACAGGGTGAGTGGTGCTGCCTCTGGAGAGAGCCCAGGTGGTTTTCCCTCCTCTTCCAGCCAAGGTGAGTTCCCACAGTCGACTCATAATTGTGTGACGAGGAGACCCAGGAAAGCACAGGGCACTGTGACACCACACATTGGCTTGCTAATTGCTCCCAAGGATGGCCTGTGACCCCCTGTAATGGGGTGGATGGGGTGAGGAGAGCACTGGCTCTGGTCCCTGGCACCTCCTGTGGTTCCCTACAGACTGACATCCAGGTTGGAAAAAAAGCCAACACACCTTTAGGGCAATATTCTCTTTGTTTGCAGTCTGGGTGTAAAACCAGCAGGATCTTTGCTTCAGGAAAATAAACCCTCCCTTTCCAGGTGGAAGGGGAGATGGAGGAGGTGACAGCTGGGGGTGAGGGGATGTCACCAGTCACGGCTGGTGGCAGTGCTCCTGGCAGGTTGTGCTTTTCTCTGGAAATGGAAGATTGCTGAAAGAAACCCCTGTGCTTTATCTCCCGGCTGAAGACGGTGCTGAAGGGTTGAAGAGGACCCATGTACCCAGGATGGACTCTGAACTGGCTTTGAGAGGGAGGGTGGTCAGGCTGAGCTGTCCCTGCAGTTCTGAGTCCCTTCCTGGTTTGTCACTGCCCCGGTGGAGGTTGGGTCCAGCCCTGCTGAGCGCAGAGCGTCGCGTCCTCAGCTCCGGCAGCACCGCGTCCTCTCCCTGCTCGCCCTCAGGTCCACAGTCGACCTCCCATGTGGGGATGGCTTGGATGCCTTCTCTTCTTCCCTCCTCAGGAGCTCTTGGACTGGGAGGAAACACAAGGCAAAGAAGGGCTCTTTTCTCCTGCCAATGGTTGGGCTGCCCCGTTCCCACCCCACAGTTCCCTGAACAGTTAACTGGGGACACCATTGCACCTAGACTGGATACCAGTGCAAAATAAAATTGTGGCTCTGAGAGAAGGTCTGAAAGGCCTCTCTGACACTGGAATATCTTGGGATGGATCTGTCCATCCTTCTGCCTTAAGGGGTGGTGCAGGCTGGAATGGTTGGGAGGAACATCTCAGTGACAAGTCGGAGCAATGAAGGGGCTGAGCCTTTCAGGGGCTCGGGACTGTGGTTCAGCCTTCTCTGCTCTCACCTGCAGCCATCCCATAACTCACCTACAGCCATGAAGACATCATTTACTTGATGGTTGGATTTTGCAGATGTCTCCATGAACAGGAGGCCTTTTGTTCGCGCAAGCTCTTCCCCCTCCTAAGTGGAAACAAGCCGAGTTATTCCCCTGCCCCTTCTGGGGCTGCTTGTTCAGTTTTATGGTGGATTTCATGGTGGGTCAAGAATTGTACAGGGACTTTGGAGGTGTCTGAAAATCTCTTAAACTCTTAGCTTTCCTTGGAAATTTTCCTTGGATGCCTCCCAGTGCTTTCTGCGAGGGGTGATGAGGGAACCCCAGGCACTCACCTCAGTGGTGATCTCTCGCTCAGTAGCAAGGTCTGTCTTGTTGCCCACCAGAGCAATCACGATTTCGTTGGGAAGGAATCTCTTCTCCAGCTCCTCCAGCCACAGCTTTGCTCTGCTGAGTGTTTGCTGGAGAGATGGAGACAAAATCACCCAGTGATCTAGCTTTGATTTTATCCCTTTGCCTCAGACCAAGTAGGCTGGGTGGCAGCAAACCAAAGAGGGTGGGGAGGTTCTGATTGCCCCTCTCAGGGAAACAGGTCACCAGCCCTTAAACACATTTAGGGATAAATCATCCTTGGATGGGATTCATGGCAGCAGAAATCAGCCCTGGGTGCTGGCATGGTCCTGCCAGGGGCCTTACCTTGTTAGCAATGTCATAAACGAGGAGGGCAGCGTGGGCATCCCGGTAGTACAGGTGACAGACACTCTGGTACTTCTCCTGGCCTGCTGTGTCCCAGATCTCAAACTTGACAATGGCCTCATCCAGGTCGAGTGTCTGTGTGAAGAAGGAGCCTGCAGACAAGATGCAGGGTGTGTGTTCACTTGGAGCAAAAGAGCAGGGAGCTCAGACCTGCTGCCCTGGTGCCAAACCCACCCCAAGGCTCAGTGACGGTGTTCTAATGCACCCAGGGGTGACTTCTTGTGACTGGCACTGGGCTGATGTGGCCCTTCCTGGCAGCAGATTTGGGTGGATGACACCAGGTTTGATGTTGGATAACTCCAAGCTTTGCAGAATAGCCCCCAGACAGAGAGAGAGCTCCACCTCGCTGGTGGGTCAGAGCTGTGAATGGGAATATCCGTGGAAAGGGCTCCCACTGGAGGGGAGCCTCCATCCTCTCCTCCAGGGAGCAGATGGCTGCTTGTGGACCAGCCAGGGATTAGGCAGAGGGACAAGAGGAGAAGCTCCACTTTGCTCTGCTCCACCAGCTGGCTCTTCAGCTACAGGTGGGATTACACCCTCTCTGCCTGCCGTGCCTTCTTAAAGCAAAACCCAGGTGCATCACACAAAATGATGATATATAATGTCTAGGTGCTGTAGGATGTGGGCAGGGAGAATTGAAACTAGGTGATCTTTAATGCAAACCATTCTAGGAGACCCTCCTGGGGTGCCTGAATAGCTGGGAGAGCAGCACAGGATGCAAAGAGCAGATGGGATGCACAGTTTACTCATTTTGCTGCTCACCTGCCTCTAAAAGGCAGCACAAAGCCGGACTTGTGTGATGTGGATGTGACTTTGCTTGTGGCCTGGTGCTGAGGAAAAGGCCTGCAGAGATGTGAAGGGGGAGGTCCTGACCTTTGGGGTAAATCTGCACCATGTTCCAAAGTGGGTTTGTGCTATTGCAAGATGGACCAAGCAGCTCTCCTGCATCCCACCCCGGGCACCAGGCCTGGTCTCTTGTGCAGAGCTGCTGGAGCCACTCACTCACATCCCACAGTTGGCAGCAGCTCCCTGAAGTCGTTTCTCACGTATCTGTAGGCCAGGCTTGACTTGCCCACGGACATGCTGCCCAGCAGGACCACCTTGTACATGTAGGAGGGACGAGGCCGCTGCGGGGAGGTGCCCGATGTCACCGCCTGTGCCATGTCCTGCAGGGAAACCAACTCTGTTCAGTGGACATCTGCAAGTGATCCCAGGATCAGCTGAGCCCCCTGCACCAGCTCCTGGGCAGGTGGCACTTAACTCCAAAATAGGCTGGAATAAAATCAAAATCATTAATACCATAAGTGACAAATTTAATGCATCGAAGCATCTGCCACTGACAGTCACATCTGCCACTGACCAGAAGGTGGAGATGTTTAGGAAGAAACTCGATGCCAGAAGCCTCCTTGGATGTAGGGAAGGAGATTGAGGCATCTCCTTTAACGGGAGGAACGGGAGGAATTTCCAGGCAGAGGGAAATCCCTTCTGGCTGTGCCTTGCTCTCCAGGACACCTCCTTCCCGAGTCCTGGGAGCTTAGGCTGAGGTCTCACATTTATCCTGGTTAAAGTTACATCAGGAGAGCCTCAGGAGCGAGAGGCCCCGGCCCGAGCAGCCCTGAGGAGCACACAAAGAGGGTGGAAAATGCTCCTGCACCCTGGGTAAAGAGCCCCAGACAAACCGAGCCCCTGGAGTGCCACCCCATGTCACCTCAGAGTGTGACTGCCCTGCTGTGCCCAGGGATGGCAGGGAAACACAGACCCAGTGACAGCGACTGCCTCAAACCTGGCTCGAAGGGAGCTGCTGCAGAGCCTTGGCTCTGCCCTGCTCGGTGGGTGCCCTCCTGGGTGTCACCTGTGTCCCCTCCTGCCAGCCCTGAGGCAAGGAAGTGCCACTTCCTTGGGGCAGCAAACCACACTTTGCCTTGCTTCTCCTCGCAGAGCTCCTCCTCCAAAAATACTCAGCTGTTAAGGAGAGAGGAGAGTTCACGGGGTGTTGGACTGAGCAGGATGCCAGGCTGAGCTCTGCTGGAGGAGAGGGCTTCCCTCCACGTGGTGAGGCAGACAGCAGGGGTCTGCAAGGCTTGTAATGAAGAATTGGTGCCATTTCTTCCTGGGCCTCAGGAATTTGGCTTTGGAACTTGGCTGGCGAGCGAGAAGTGCCTTTACAAAGACACCTACAGCAGCAGCAGCGATGGAGCTCCCCGCTCTCTGCATTTCACTCCCCTGACAAAAGCCCCTTGTTCCTGTGAGCTGCTCATCCCACGTGTCTCCTTTATTTTGCCTGTCCTCCCTCCAGACCTTTAATTCTTCATTAAGGCTGTCATTAAGAGTGCTCCTTGGCTGAACCCAGGTCTGTATCTTTAGATCCAAGTAGTTTTTCTGCTGGGTGAGGCAGGCTTTAATCCCCTCAAAAAACACAGGTAACATCACCTCCCCCAGCTCATGCAGCCCTGTGATGAAGAGCAGGATCATAGTTTGTGCAGCACAGCTAGTTAGTCATATTTTCCAAGCAGGAAAAAGATAAGCCCTGTGGCACAGCATAAATGTGCTCCTTAGGGTATTGATTACACATTTGCCTCTTTGTAGGCTGGAAACAAGACTGCCATCCATCCTGGGCACTTATTGTCAGTGATAAGCCATAAAACTCTCTAGAAGCTGCTTGAAAACTACCCAAGGTTGTCTATATCAAACACAGTTTGTCATCATTTCCCTCACTGCTCTCTGTTCAACCTTAGGAAGATGGGTTGATGCTGGAACAAAACTCACCTGAGATTTACTGAGTAAATGAGTTTTGCCAAAGCTCACTTGAAACAAATTTTTCCCCCATGTTAAGAGGCAGAGGGTGTCTCCCTTCCAACCTGAGGAGGATGGCAAGGAAGCAAAACAAGTGGCTTCGTTCTGATTCAGTGGAAAACAGGATTTGAGGGGAAATGGTGAGGGTTTCATCCTTTTTTTTGGTTGGAAAAGGAGAGTACAGAGTAAAACCCTGCACTTGTTGGATAAGGGACTATGGGAAAAGCATCAAGCTATCTACTGTCATCAATCTGGAGAGCAGCCTGGGCAACAGCTGAGGTGGTGCAGGTCCTCTCCTTTTGCCAAGAGGCCACACTGAGGGGCAGGGAAAGCTCAACCTGCTCAGTAGTCAGAGAAAATAAACCAATTTATCTTCAAACAGCTGTAAAAACCCTGCTGGTGGATTTAGTCTCCAGGTACAGCTTAATATTTTGTGGCAGCTGTGTCTAGTGGCTGATATTAGGGGCAGGCATGCTTGATCCTACACTTGTCTTGAAGGTGAGTTCCTAAAGAGCCACAACACCAATCATTTCTCACAAGGAAATTGTGTTCAGCATCTTTAACCTGGGCTGGAGGGATCCTGCTGTATTTATTGTCAGGGGATAAGCCTTTTACTTCCAAGGGAAAGCAGTAATAAAAGAAAAGTCATGCATACCTTTGGGGATGGAGTCACTGAGAAGTCTTATTTAAAACCCTGTTTAGCTTCCTGGGAAATTAATGTTGTTTAAATGTAGTGATGTCTAACTGGTGGCTAAGCTTTTCTAGGTCTTAATACCATTAAAACCATTTGCTGAGTTTCTGCAGGGGTGCAAGAGTGAACCAGAACAAAAATTACTGAACACCTCAGAAAAATTACAAGACTTCAATGCTTAACAGTGTAAGTCTGCAGTACTTAACTCTGCAGGTTTTGGACACAACATTTCAGGTTCTTTCAGATTTAGCTACTTCATTTTTCCTCCCCCTCACAAGATAGTTGTCATGCACCTACCTCCCCAGTTAACTTCTAGCATTCAGCTCAAAGCTCTCTGCTTTTGGGAGCCTCCTCCTACCTGCTTAATCTCTGGCTTGAATAAGAGAGTGGCCACTCAGAAAGTTCAGGGTTACCAGGGGATACAAAAATCCCAACTGCAAAGACATAATGTGTAAACATTAGATTTACACAGTGATGATTTCTCAGAGCAAGCAGCTGCCCTCCAAGCAAAGGGGAAGGGAATAAGGATCATTAACCACACAGGGAAGTAAGGCAGCAATAAACAGGACCGCCCTGGGCTGTGGGAGAGACTGAGAGCTCTGCTGAGCCCTTCACAACAGCTCTGGGAGGATGGGGGTAGGGCAGAGGGCTTCCTAAAACCTCTTCTCTTTGGCAGGGAGTCACTGAGGACCGTGCCACCCTTCGTGCATCCTTCGTACCTTGAATGTGAGGCTGCTCCGCGAGGATGAGAGAATTTCCAGAGCTTGCCTGGAAGAGGCACCTTGGAGGGGGCTGGGGGCCTGTCCAGTGGGGAATTCCTGAGCAGAGGATGCCTTTACCTTCCCGAAGCCTTGCTGTGCTCCCAGGGTTGCAGTCCGTGTGTCAGGGGTGAGAGGATGACGGCCCCATCCGTGTGTTCCAGCCTCTGCCTGCCGGCAGCAGCTAAAAGCGAAAGCACCGGGAGCGGTGTCAAAGGTAGAGGGAGGCAGGCCCAGATCAGTGAACCTTAGACCTGACACCAGGTCTAAGGTCTGGCAGCCAGACAAGATGACAGGAGGCTGCTGTCACAGAGGTCGTGCCCCCAGGGCCCCTCCATCCCTCCCTCCATCCTTCCCTCCCTGCTTCCCACACTGGGGTTTGGCCATGGACAGACAGATGGATGGATGGATGGATGGATGTGTGGGGCTTTCCCCCTTGTCTTGGGATCCAAGATCAGCCCAGCTGCCAAGGAAATGGGGGTAAAACCCCCTCAGAACCCCCAGGGTTTGAGGATTAGGGAGGGCTGAGTGTGGCTGGTGTCATGGCATACACGGGATCTGTCCTCTCCGGATTTTTATAACACGGCAATTCCTGCTGATGAACATTAGACCTGGCTTTGGTCTTGTGCCAGGCACGGGCTCAGATATCTCGGGTTTGGGATTACAAGGGGGATTTGTTCTATGGAAGAAGACACTCCCACTTCTCTGGCGAAATGCTTCAGCTGCAAAACAGCTGCTCCTGAGTTTGGGAGGTACAAAGTGAGCAAAAACTGAGCATTTTACTTCCTTTTAATTAAGGTAATAGCTGGTTACCCTGGCAGCTGGGGCTCAGTGTTTTGAAGAAGGCTGCTCTTGTTTAATATCTTGAGAGAGAAATCTCAGCATGTTATATTGCATTGGGATAATGGGTCCGGAGTGAGAATGGGAAGATCTGATAATTAAACATCTGATAAGATGATAACGCTGTGTTTCTGTCACTCCTCTTGTCACAGTCAATGTCTTTCCTTCAAGTAAGATGCCTGGAAGTGAAACAGGCTTAACAAAATCTGGTCCTAATGGTTATAGGGAACAGGGTGAAAAGCAGAACTCCTACAAGAAAGCTTAAAAACAATATAATCTTAGTTTTGAAATGAAAAATGGGTCTTGTGACTTTCAAGGCCTAAGCACAGCAGTTCGATTACTTGCCATTTCAATGATGAAAAGCCATGTACAGTTTCCCTTCCCAGGCTCTTCCCATCAGCTCTGCAGAGGCTAGAGCTGGATTTGGGGATCCTTTGAAAACAGTTCCTAACAACCCTATGAATATATATGTAGTTTTTCCAGCCCAGAAGCAGTTTAAGGTGCTCCTACCCCTTTCTTATAACTTGTTTCCCAAAGAAGCTGACTTAAAGCCTTATTTTTTCTTTTCCTAGGGCTTTGGATGAGTCAGTCCTTCAGTGGGAGTCTCTGTGACCCTGTGCAGAGTTGCAGTGGTACAGCAAGGGGGTAGGAAGATACTTCAGGGTTTTGCAAGGGCTGAGTGTGGATACCTTGGGCTGGGGATGCTGCAGCAGGAATCCTTGCCCACAGCAATGATTTTACCCACTGGTTTGGACCTACAGGCTCTGGTAGCACCATACACTTAACCTAAGCATGCAATTTTTAGTAGAAAAAAAGGCTGGGAGGCTTTGAAGCCTGATGAAAGCATGGCTTTGTCACTGCTAAGCGAAACTTCATTCCCAGTTTGTGCTGCTCTGTTATTTTCATACCAGTCTCCTCTGCCCCAGCAGATGTCACATCTCAGAGGCCTTTGTGAAGGGCTTGTATAAAAGAAGACAGTGGGGATGAGGTGCCCAAAGTGCTATGGTCTGGCTGTAAATGCCTTGGAGGCCTCCAGAGCCCAGGGGAGTGAGTCCCTTATGTGGGAGAATGTCCCCTGGAA